AACAGCAAACTAAAAAAAAAAATGCAAAATGTAAGAAAAAAAAAGAAGAAAAAAGTGATTATTTTAGTTGAACAATCAAAAAATTTCTGTTGTACAAAAAGAAGCATTTTGGTTGGAATTGATTTTGCTGAAAACATTGCTTTAATGCTGCTTGGGAATGATTGTCGTCGTTTTATTTGTCTATAAATTTTTTCCTCCTCACAACCATAGTTTTCCACCAAACAAAAATTGTATTTCATTTTTTTTTTGCCTCTCATTGATCCCTTTTTTTCTTGCGGATAATAAAATCGTCAGTGGTACCAAGAATAGAACGTCAAAAAAAGTAAAACAAAGAAATTTTGACTGACCAAGAAAAAAAAATAGACTTAAATTTAGATTTTTCTGTAGTAGAGCAGAGGAAAAAATGCTAAGAAGCCAAAATTTTGTATAAAGGAAAGCCATCAGACACGATCAGATGATCATAGAAGGTAGTTGTAGACTGTTCTCAAAACAGTTAAGAAGAAGTACAATAGAGAGGAAAAAAAGCGATGAACATTAAGTCGGAGAAGAACGAAACCGGCATCATGTTCCATCTGATCAGTAGCTGCAGTAGTCAGCAGCTTAGTGTCAGTATAGTTAACTGTACAGTTGCGTTGTTCAGCAGTACTGTTAGTTGGAAATCCTTATACGGAATTAAAAAAAGTTTACGAAATTCCTGCAGATTTCAAAACAGATGTTAGCGATGTGGTGTGCTGTCTTATCGGAGTAACTGTTCATTTTTTTTTACTTTTGCCTTGATCAGCAGCAGAAATAAACTGAAAAGACACTTGATGAGATTGGTTGACCATTTCAGATAGTTGAGTAGATTAAAGCAAAAAAAGAAAAAAAACCTTAGTAGTTTCATCAGTTATCGTACATTTTTAAAAGACAATAACAAAAAAAAAGTGCTGTTATTTTCTGGGATAAAAATAAAGAAAAGAAATTTTTTTTTCAATCATTTCTGAACTTTTTTGTTTCAGTTTCTAACAAAATTACAGACAGGTACATTAAATTTATTCTGTTTATTTTTTTTTTCAATTACGTCGGTTTTTCATTTTCTTTATTCCCGCTTCGTTTCTCAGCTTAGTCATTACGGAAATAAATTTTGAATAAATTCAGAATTATTAAGATAAAACACTTTCGTTTTTAGTTTATTTTGTGTTTTCTTCTTCTATTGGTGATGATATGAGTAACAGATAAATTAGTGGAATTTACAGACATTTTCTTTACAGAGCTGTGTTTTTTTTTCTGTTTTCTAACTGTTTTTAAAGGTCGCCAAATAAAGTAACAACAGCACTGCGAGACTTACAAAACAATGCATTAGCCAAAGCTGAAACTGAAAAAAAAAAGAAACAAGAAACAGAAGAAAAAGTAGAAGAAGCGTGGTTCAAATAAGAAACAACAGTACCGATAAGATATTGATGAACAGCGTTAGAAAAAGTCGTCTGATAACCTGGTGTATTTAAACAGCAAAATTTAATTGATACATGAAGTTTACTGCCGTTTGACATCAATGACATCGATGCATTTTCTTTGCTTATACAGATACAACAAAAAGTCATCAGAATAAGTTCTAATTTCTCACTAAAAACCTTCTACAGAAGATCTGATTCAGCAAACAGAAATAACTGTTTTCCCCTTTTTTTATTCACTTTTCTTCCCATCCCTTCCTAGCGAACTTTATTTTAACAGACTCGATAAAAAGAAATGACACCTAAATTTAACGCAATTAACAGTACCATTTTTCTTGACATATTTAACAGCACACAAATACATTGGTTATTTACTTTTCCACTGAGACAGAACTTTTAAAGCTTGAAAAAGACAGCAATTTTCCTAACTGTTTTTTTTTTCATTCATTTCGATCCAATTAGTTATGACTGCTAAATGATCCATTAAACTAAAAACTGTATTCTATTGACCTTCTAAATTGACTTTCGACCAGTGATTCCTACTCACTATTCTTTGGATTTTTTTTTGATAGCAGTGCTGCTTTTTTGAAACTGTTGTTGCTGCTGTTGAATTATCCACAACTAAATATTGATGAACGGCTTTTTCAAGAAAAATAAAACTTTTACAAAACTGTGTTTTTTCCTTGTTTTAGTTTAATTTTAAGCAATGAAAAAAAGAATGAAAAAAAGGAAAAACAAGATAGCCTTTTTGTTGACCTTGAAAAACTAAATTATTTTCCTAACATTTATCATAAATAATTATAGATGTTTGTTTCACCAAAGATATGCTTAAAAAATAGCAACGTAAAACAAAACAACTGTAAAAGAGCAAAAAAAGAAGAGTTAAAGCAGATTAAACTTAATGCAAACCTGATGTTAAAACAGTTTCGTCTGATGCTTTTTCCGTTCTTTCTTTAGTTTTTTGCAGAATTAAACCTTTTTTATAGTGTTATGTAATTGGCTGCAGAAGAAACTAAAGAATTAGTAGGAAAAAAAAACAAAGCAAGGAAAAGATATTTGGAAAAAAAAAGGCAAAAAGAACTAGAAATTGAAAGCCCTTAAAACAGTATCATCCGTAGCTGTCAAAAAGTTAGTTTGCTAAAAGTAATGAATACTTTTTCCTCAACACTATCAGCATTCACTAAGGTGCTAGAAACTTGTTCAGCACTATAACCAACTGTAAATTCATGTAAAATGGATTAGATTAACGAACATAGACAAAACTTGTTTTTGCAGTAAGCTCCAGTTAAAGAACTGCAAAACTTGTTCGCCATGACCAAACTTATCTGTTTTAGAACTTCTAAATAAACTGCTCAAATTCAATAAACAATAAATAGCTGTATAATCAGTGAGTAATATACGATCATAAACAGCTTTTGTCATCTTCATATCTATTACCAAAATTCAGAACTTGAATCAAAATTTTTTGCCACCGATTAAACCAATAAGTTTTCTTTCCAACATTTATTTTTTGACATTACTTTCTTGTTTTTTTTTTTCGTTTCGTTTTTCTTAGCTGTTCTGTCTGTTTTGGTTTACCTAAATTTGAAGAATTTATTAGAGAATGACGTATTATTTGTTCAAACGGAAAAAAAGATTGCAAACAAAGACTGTTATAAGCCAACGGTACTGTTGATGTCAATAGTTGTTTGATCAGTTAATCTAAAAATAAAGAATTGTATTTCAAGTGTTCTGAGTCTTAAGTTTTATACTTTGCACCTAAATAAGTTAGTTTATTGAAGAAAAAAAGCCTTCTTAAAACATCAACTTTTCTCAGACAAAATTCAAAAGACACATAGACAGATTCCCTTCAGAAATTAACATACAGTTACTACTTTTTGCTTTTTAAAGATAATCTTTACTAAACATAATTATATAAGTTAGTAGTTCCAAATCTACTTGTTCTTAAAATTTTAAATTTTTTGGCTGATTTTGCCAAATAATCAAAATATATGTGCATTTTTTTTTTTTTTT